TGAACATGTAATAAACAAAGGAACTGCATGCAGGGTGGTAGGAAAGAGAAATACTGTACCAATTGGCAAGGGGCATCCAGCCCATCCAGGCCAGGCTGGCCTGGCTCCCCTTTTTCCCCCTTAACGCCACGGAATCCCTGTTTGTAAAGATTAACTCATAATGTTACTAACACAAGAAATCACTTAAGCACAAATTCTGTGAAAGAAGTAACTCCAACGAAAGGCTGGGAGAGGAGCAACTCTGAAGGTAAAAGTAACATTCAGTGAAGATGGACAAAGTAAAATGGAGGGACGCATATGCCTACAACAGGGGCTTGTTGGAAAACAGTGGCCTTTGCTTTTGAGGGGTATGGAATAGTGCCGGCTCCGTTCGGATCTTACAATCAGATTCCAGGTGCACCATGATATTTGGGGGTTAAGAAACCAGGCAGAGCTAGTGACCAGAGATGAGATGTGGAACATATCAGGATAACTGTGATAAATGTTTCTGGGTGCCTTGAAGTCCGTCTTAAAGGACCCCGATCAGACACCCTCCTGTTACGGATGCCTCCAGCTTGCTCTTCTCCCATCTGATCCCCTCACACAAACATCCGGAGACAGTTGCACGGGTCAGACATACCAACGGGCAGGGTGCATCTAATCCAGGAGCACCCTGTTCTCCTTTCTCCCCTTTAGGCCCCTTTTTGCCTTTCTTTCCCTTTTCCCCCTGTGGATACAAGGGTTTAAATAAAAGACAAATTTTTATTTGGGGGGAAATCATGGTAATTCAAAAGATGGTTTAGGTAAGAAAATTCTGGAAGGGCATTTACCATTGTTTTCTGATTTAGGTACGGCATGATATTATAAAAGCTAACTTACACTTTCAGCGTGACAATGGATTCTGGGCAGCGGTATATGGGATTTTATTTAAGATACGCAACAAGACAGAAGAAGGAGACTTAAAAGCGGATACATCAGAAGTGCTAACTTAGCGCTAACGTAGACCACAATGTCACGGTCATGAATTAGGTGTCTGAGTCATAGATCTTATGAGGATGACAGGTACCAAAAGTATTGAAGCCAGCCAGTGGCAGATGAAGTTCAGGGAAATAATGGATACTTCACTCATTTTCAATACCAATTTTTTTTTTTCCTAATCCTGTAACAGATGAAAGCTGCATTGAATCAGAGGAAAAGGAAAGAATATTAACAGCATGTATTTCTTTGAAATGTATCCAACTTTATGATTGATACTACTTGTGTAACTCTCATTCAAAATATTCCATGTCTGAAAATACGCTTCTATTTCTTTTAACATTTTTTACATCCTTTTGTTACAGAAAAACATTTTTTCAAAAGAAACTGAAAGCAAATACTTTCCTTATTAAATCAGGTAAACAAATGTTAAAGTGCTGATACTTTGCAGCAATGACAACTGGAGAAACAGACTTATTTATAAACCTAGGGATCTTCTTTAAGTCACTCTCTTACTGATCTCATGCCATGTATTTACAGTGGTAAATGTTTCCAGCTTACTCACAATGTAACAAAAGCAAAAAAAAAAAAAAAAAAAAAAAAATCTGTTCAGGAGAGGAAAAGCAGCTTGGACTCAATAAAAATGAGGTAGGCAGGATAATTACATAGTGGGAATGTAGCTATGGAAATTAGTATTCAGGAATCAAGGTAAAGGTTGTGGGAAATCTACATGGATCATAGGACCAGAGGAATTAAGGAAAGGAGGCAAAAGGAGGAGAAGGAAGGAACGCACCACAGCTGTTTTATATTAACATCAGTATCTCTGCATATTTATAGACAGGGAGTTGGTGCCGTGCAGAATTCAAAATCCTATATAATACACACTTAAATAAATGTATTCATTCTGCAATCAGGATGTGAGTTACAATAAAACTGAATCTCTGAAGCAAAGCAACATAAATATTGACAGGTGAAAGGAGATATACATAACAGAAATATACAAGATATACATTCGAATTAATACATTCATTCCGACAGCATGAGCAAAAGCTCCTCATTTATCTCCTGTGTGCCAAAAAGATTGCATCAGAAGGCTCAGAATCAAAAACACTTGAATTTCTTGAATAAGGGGCAAAGAGACATTCTGTGTGGCTTGGTTGATCATGATAAAAGACAATGATGACCCCAGATGCCAAGGTGAAATAAGAGCAGTTGTGATAGGAAGTAAGATGGGAGGAGCATTCAGGAGTAAGTTGCTCAGTCACACAAGATGGATAACATCCTTCCTTAACAAATCACTTCAGTACCATGACATAAAACTGATGTAAACTCGTGTGGGTGAGCTATTCCTTCCCAGAAAGCAGTGGATCATCTTCACATAGGTGTGTCTGAGACCAGCTGTGTTGGGTATTATTACTTTAGAATTCAATTCATTATTTGGTAAATCAACACAGATTAAGAACTCAACAGAAAAATGTCTTATGAATGTTACTGTGTCAGGCTATAGGAATCATTTTTCAGTAATATTTTAGTGAGTCTCGAGCTTGATGGGAAAGAAACACTAGTATGAAGAATAACGTGCCAATCTTATTCATCAGCATTGTTATGGCATATGTACTGATTCTCCATGCAATACAAAACCATCTGTCGTTGTGGGTATGAGTACATAAGAGCTTTTGATAACTTTTATTTTCCATGTCAAAGACTTATATACATGAATTATTCTCATTTAGAATCTAATTTTTGTAAATTTAAAACTTGTAATCATGGAAGCTGAACATGGAAATACTTTTGTATTGGTGATTAACATTATTCTGAGGATCAAGTTTCTAGCTTTTATGCTTTCATATGCTGTAATGTTGGTAATTTCTTTCTCATAAACATGAGTATCCTCCTAATGGTTATATTACATATAATTTATTTATTTATTTTTGAGATGGAGTCTCACTCTTGTTGCCCAGACTGGAGTGCAATGGTGTGCAATCTCGGCTCACTGCAACCTCTGCCTCCTGAGTTCAAGCGATTCTCCTGCCTCAGCCTCCCAAGTAGCAGGGCTAACAGGTGCCTGCCACCACGCCTGGCTAATTTTTGTATTTTTAGTAGAGATAGGGTTTTGCCATGTTGGCCGGGTTGATCTCAAACTCTTGACCTCCAGGTGATCCACCTGCCTCAGCCTCCCAAAGTGATGGGATTATAGGTATGAGCCACCATGCCCATTGGTAATATGTTTTTGAGTGATTAAGATTTATACATACGTGTGTGTGTGTATGTATGTGTGTGTATATATATATATGTATATGTGTATATATATATATATATATATATATATATATATATATATATATATGTATATGTATAAATAATGCTTTTAAGTTTTTTCAGAGACAGCATCTTGTTGTATCACCCAGGCTGGAGTATAGTGGTGTGCACATAGCTCACTGCAGCCTCAAACTCCTGTGTTCAAGTGATCATCTCACCTCAGCCTCTAGAGTAGCTGGGACTACCGGTACACGCCATCATGCCCCATCGAGTTTTTCATTTTTTAGTAGAGATGGGGGTCTTGCTATGTTGCCCAGGCTGGTGTTGAACTCTGGGCCTTAAGCATTCCTCCCACCTAGGACTCCCAAAGCCCCAGATTACAGGCATGAGCCACTGCACCCAGCCACATATAATCTTTAAAACACACTCATCTTGGGCTGAAAACTTATATGCACAATTCATCTCAAAACATATTTTATAGTCAGAATTTACAATTCAGAATAAAAGAACTTTTTATACCTCGGTTTCCTTGTGAAATGGGGAAAATAATGCCAACTTCAGGTACTAAAAGTGTTGAAGCCAGCGAGTAATTTTCATCCTTTTGATGAGGATTAAAAGACTTATCATATGTAAAGCTCCTGGGAAAGCACATATGATCAGTAAATGTGAGGATCCTGGTGTCGATGATGGGGCTTTCAGATAACCACTTACACAGGCTCTCTTGCCAATGGGTTGGGGAGGGTCTAAGCAATGCTTAAAGGCCTAAAACTTAACACTGCAAGCTTAATAATCTTTGACAACTCATTTAGCCTTGCTTGTCAACAGCTATTAATGTCACTGTTCAAGAAACTTTATAGGGTTATAAAAACTGCTAAATAGAGCAGGGACGTAAATTAACCTGAGAAATAGAACAGGTTTAAATTTGTGCTGTGAAACACAGTTTCAGTCACTTTAAGATTTTCACTATTCTATTGAGGGATTGAGTTTTTGATGGCTTCTTTTGCTGTGTCCGGTGTAAAAAATTCTCCTTAGATCTACTACCAAGTAAAAGATCCAAGCAAAATACTGAGAAGGGCGGGGGTGGGGGCGGGGGTGGGGGCGGGGGAAGGGGTGGGAGAGAGAGAGGGAGTGAGGGAGCGAGGGAGAGGAAAGGAGGGAAGGGAGGAGAAAAGAACAAAGGAGAAGAAAGGGATGAATTACTTTTAAAATCCATAATCCAAACTTCTCTTTCAAGTCACAAAACCATATTGCTTGATATTGGCTCCTAAAGACCATGGAGCTGACGGTTCTGAGATAGAACTTCAACATCAACCTCATAAAATATACTAATACCTCCATTTAAAAAATCTCTCTTGCTCTAAATCTAAAACAGCAAATTCTAGTCCTGTGTATGAATTTACTGTTATCAGTCACACCGCTTCTCCATTTTCAAATAAAAAATATCAAGGTACAAAACATATCTCCATTTCTCTACCAGGAAGTAGTGAAGATAAGTGGATGCTGACTCTGCAGGCTTCAGTGAGCTCTGCCAAATACTATTGCAGATTTGTGCTATTCAATTTTACTTTTTTTAAAAAAAATTTTTTTCAAAAATCATTTTTCAATCAATTAGTGTCTGATATTTGAAAACCTGTAGCTTGAATATCTGGGGATAATATATTTTTTTCTATGCCAGGCAGTGCGCTTATATCTGGCAGTACAGCCTTCTTCATTCGTCTCTGAAGACCCGATTCTTTATATCGGGCATCAGCATGTTTTTGGAGCACAGGATAGAGAAAGATTAAATGTCAAATGGAATCACGCATGCTGAACAGCAAAGCAGACAGCAGGAGAAGAATCAAGGCACATGCTGGGATGGAGGGGTCACCTTTTCTCCCTTTTCTCCTGGGTCACCCTTCTCACCCCGTGGACCAGGGAAGCCCTGTAAAATAAAAAGCAAACCAAAAAGATCTATTGGTGTAATGGTGGCAAAATCATACAGAAACACGTATTTTAGGATTTTACATTTCTGAACTGAAATATAACACAAAATGGGACACCAGTCATAAGATTTAGATAATAAGGTGGTGCCGAGAAATACCTGTTTTCTAATGTCTCCATTATCTAGACACAACAGGTTTCTTGCTTTTCCTTTCAGAAATACAGAGAGGAAAGAATACCAGGATATTATTTTGAATTCTGGCAAGTTCACTGATTTGTGCGGACTTGGGCAAATCACTTACCGCTCTGCACTTGACTCCCTTGACTGTAAAATGAGGTTAATGATATCTACCAGGCAGCTGTTGTGAATGTGAAATGTGATGATATACTACAAAGTACCAGAATGATGCCTGCCCATAACAGGTGCTCATAAACAGTAAGTATTACTTTTGGTATTCTCATTATTCATGTAATCCAGGATGAGCAGTGATTGTTTCTAGAGGCATTTACTTTTGACATATGACTTGACATATTTTCACGGGATCATGTTAGCATAAGATATATAGAGACTAAATGCTAAAAGGAAAAAATATTGCATAACTGCTTTGAGAAAAAAACATACACCATTCCCTAAGGATAGCATATGAGAGGGATATTGAGTTTATGCATATTTTTCATAAATAGGTCATGCTGATGTTAAGAGAACCCTTAATTTGGGAAAGTATTTTAAACTGCCACCATCCACTACCAGTTACTAATTTTCTACAAGATAATTGTGTTTTTTGCTTTTCTGTTTATCTCATGTGAACACTAGTGTATATTTTATATTGCTGTTTACATGCACAGCAATATATGTTCTATGCATACCTATATGCACAGAAAAAAATAAGTATTCTTTCTGTTATTGATGATGGAGACCACCAACATCTATTATAATAGGATGATGTTTATTGTACTTATTACTTACATCAAGACCAGGCTCTCCATCCTTCCCCTGCCAAAGAACCATAGTAGCTACATTAGTGTTGCTAAGTTTTATGAATAGGTTATTGCTTGATTTAAGGCTGTCTGAACATGCAACACTAGTACTAGAATGACGACTTCAGAAATGTGAAAAAGATTTCTATGGATTAGTGGCTGTTAGTGTTGCAACTAAGGGTAATTAAAATTTTATATATTGGGTTAAATAGTCTAATGTTTTGCTGATGTTTAAGGGTTGGTAACTAAGTTATCAGTCCAAGAGTTAAGTTAAAAGCAAAAATACTGGTTAGTCAATTTAAAAACACACCAGCACTAATAGGGGATGTGAATCAATGCTACTTTAATTTGATAACTTAGTAGTTAGCTCATAAATGAGTAAAGAATATAGAAACTGTTTCCTGTTAAGTACAGTTTTAATTTGGCTAGATGTGCACACTGTGTATGAAGGGTTTGAAGGTTGCAACTTAAAATTTTTTTTTAAGTAAGCTTTGTAAATGAATAATCCCAAATATATATTTTTAAAGTCGTAAGACTATTAGGCAAGAATGATAAATTCACTCCCATAGTGCGTGCAGATGATCACAGTGATGACCCTATTGTGTCATACTATGGATCCATCCAAAGTTCACAAGAGGCTAGTTTGATTCCGTCAATTAGATTTTGAAACCTATTTCAAAATCAGCATCTTTTTTTTTCCTTTAGCACTGAGGTAATCATGGTTTATGTTTATTATTTCAATTCCTAAAAAGCATACGGGAAATACGAAAAGGTTAAAATTCTTAATGCAACATATTCTTTTACTGTAGTCCTACCCTGTCTTAATGAATCAATTATAATTCTTCCCAAGATAATATTTTAAAAGCAAACCAGAGGTCTTAATTTCAATTCTGTGTAATTAAGAATTTTCAGGCTGGGTGCAGTGGCTCACACCTGTAATCCTTGCACTTTAGGAGGCCAAAGTGGGTGAATCACTTGAGGCCAGGAGTTCAAGACTAGCCTGGCCAAGATAGTGAAAATCCCTGTCTCTACTAAAAACACAAAAATTAGCCAGCATGGTGGCACATGCCTGTAGTCCCAGCTACTCAGGAGACTAAAGCAGGAGAAATGCTTGAACCCAGGAGGTGGAGGTTGCAGTGAGCTGAGATTGTGCCACTGCACACCAGCCTGGGCAAAAGAGTGAGACTCCATTTCAAAAATAATAATAAAAAGAATTTTTAGAAGATAGAACACTATCAATGTTCTATGTTCTGAACATCACTTGTCATCACAGTTATTTAGAAAAACATCATCATAAATATCAATTTAATTTGGGGAATAATTTTTAGTAGCAAGTCTCATTTTAGTAAATAGCCTATAGGAACAGATAAAGTCTGAAGAAGGCTGTTTTCAATGAAGCTTCCACAGCCATTTTTGGATCCAGTGACCTTTCAAGGAAGTGCCAGTTATGAGTGTCCAGTAAGACGTAGGGAGGGCATCTTCTGACAGTCAGAGTCCTGTTCTTGGCTTAATAGTTTATTCTAGAGACAGTCTTTGATCCTCTCAATCTCGTGAAGTGACTGGATATGGGTCTGTATGTGATGAGTGGGCGAGAGACTGAGTATAACCTGTTTGTGAAGGACATGGAATTGCTGGCATCATAGATCATTAGTGGACTGTTGTTTTCTTGTCTAACATGAGTCTGCCCCACAAAGGAAGGGTTAACCGTGTCAGTGACTGGTCAGCTATGCATGCAGGAGGTGGGGACGCGCATGCGACTGGGAACTCACAGGCAGCCCATAGGGCCCCCTCGGTCCGGGCTCTCCCACAGCTCCTTTTTCGCCCTAAAATGAAAAGTAGAAAGTTCAAATCACATGCACCTACATTCACACACTTTCTCTCATGCCCTGTGTATAAAGCCTCTATGTCAAGGACCATTCTATGAAAATCTCAAAGATTTAGGCTCTTAGAGAGTCACTTCCAGTGACAGTTGGAAAGTAATGCACAGAAGCATCTTTTACTAAATCACCTTTGAAATAGAGGCAGCAGAAGATTGCCGCTGCCCAGCTGTGAGAAAGCATTTGCATATCTCAGATGCCATACTTGGGTTTCTTTGGCATTAGTGTTAAACATGTATTTGTTACTATGTTGTTAGCACCCTTAAATGTAAAAATAAATTGCCTTTTCTTTTTTTAAATTATACTTTAAGTTCTGGGGTACATGGGCAGAACATGCAGATTTATTACATGGGTATATGCTTGCCATAGGTATTTACTTGCCATCCATCACCCCATCATTTACATTAGGTATTTCTCCTAATGCTATTCCTCTCCTAGCCCCCCACCCCCAGCTATCCCTTTCTAGACCCCCAACCCCCAACATGCCCCAGTGTGTGATGTTTCCCCCGCCCCCATGTCCATATGTTCTCATTGTTAAACATCCACTTATGAGTGAGAACATGTGGTGTTTGGTTTTCTGTTCTTGTGTCAGTTTGCTGAGAATGATGGTTTCCAGCTTTATCCATGTCCCTGCAAAGGACACATGAACTAATCCTTTTTTAAATTTTTATTTATTTATTTTACTATACTTTAGGTTCTGGGGTACATTTGCAGAACATGCAGGATTGTTGCATAGATACACACGCGGCAATGTGGTTTGCTGCCTCCATCCCCCGTCACTTACATCTGGCATTTCTCCCCATGTTATCCCTCCCAAACTTCCCCACCCCGCCCACTATCCCTCCCTTGCCCCCCCCAACAGACCTGTTTGTGATGCTCCCCTCCCTGTGTTCATGTTTTCTCGTTGTTCAACACCCGCCTATGAGTGAGAACATGCAGTGTTTGATTTTCTGTTCTAGTGTCAGTTTGCTGAGAATGATGATTTCCAGATTCATCCATGTCCCTACAAAGGACATGAACTCGTCGTTTTTTATGGCTGCATAGTATTCCGTGGTGTATATATGCCACATTTTCCTTGTCCTGTCTATTGATGATGGGCATTTGGGCTGATTCTAGGTCTCTATTATTGTACGCAGGGCTACAATGAACATACGTGTGCATGTGTCTTTACAGTAGAATGATTTATAATCCTTTGGGTATATACCCAGTAATGGGATTGCTGGGTCAAATGGAATTTCTATTTCTAGGTCCTTGAGGAATCACCACACTGTTTTCCACAATGGTTGAACTTCCGCAATGGTGGGAGTTTATACTCCCATCAACAGTGTAAAAGTGTTCCTATTTCTCCACGTCCTCTCCAGCATCTGTTGTCTCCAGATTTTTTAATGAGCGCCATTCTAACTGGCATGAGGTGGTATCTCAATGTGGTTTTGATTTGCATTTCTCTAATAATCAGTGATGATGAGCATTTTTTACTATGTTTGTTGGCTTCATATATGCCTTTTGAAAAAAGTCTGTTCACATCCTTCGCCCACTTTTAGACGGGTTTGTTTTTTTCTTGTAAATCTGTTTTAGTTCTTTGTAGATTCTGGATATTAGCCCTTTGTCAGATGGGTAGATTGCATTTTTTCCCATTCTGTTGGTTGCCGGTTCACTCTAATGATTGTTTCTTTTGCTGTACAGAAGCTCTGGAGTTTAATTAGGTCCCATTTGTGGATTTTGGCTTTTATTGCCAATGCTCTTGATGTTTTTAGTTGTGAAGTCTTTGCCTATGCCTATGTCCTGAATGGTTTTGCCTAGGTTTTCTTCTAGGGTTTTTATGGTATTAGGTCTTATGTTTAAATCTTTAATCCCTGGAGTTAATTTTAGTGTAAGGTGTCAAGAAGGGGTCCAGTTTCTGCTTTCTGCACATGGCTAGCCAGTTTTCCCATCACCATTTATTAAACAGGGAATACTTTCTCCATTGCTTGTTTTTGTCAGGTTTATCAAAGATCAGATGGTTGTAGATGTGTGGCATTGCCTCCAGGACCTCTTTTCTGTTCCACTGGTCTATATCTCTGTTTTGGTACCAGTACCATGCTGTTTTGATTACTGTAGCCTTGTAGCATAGTTTGAAATCAAGTAGTGTTATGCCTCTGGCTTTGTTCTTTTTGCTTAGGATTGTATTGGCTATACGGGCTCTATTTTGGCTCCATACGAAGTTTAAGGTAGTTTTTTCCAGTCCTGTGGAGAAGGTCATTGGTAGCTTGATGGGGACAGCATTGAATCTATACATTACTTTGGGCAGTATGGCTATTTTCACAATATTGATTCTCTCTTAACCATGAGTATGGAATGTTTCTCTGTCTGTTTGTGTCCTCTCTTATTTCCTTGAGCAGTGGTTTATAGTTCTCCTTGAAGAGGTCCTTTACCTCCTTCGTTAGTTGTATTCCTAGGTATCTTACTCTCTTTGTAGCAATTGTGAATGGGAGTTTGCTCATGATTTGGCTCTCTGTTAGTCTCTTTTTGGTGTATAGAAATGCTTGTGATTTCTGCACATTGATTTTGTATCCTGAGACTCTGCTGAAGTTGCTTATCAGTTTAAGGATATTTTGGGCTGAGATGATAGGGTCTTCTAAATATACAATCATGCCATCTGCAAACAGAGACAATTTGACTTCCTCTTTTCCTAACTGAATACCTTTTTTTTTCTTTCCTAATTGCTCTGGCTAGAACTTCCAATACTATATTGAATAGGAGTGGCGACATAGAGCATCCTTGTCTAGTACCGGATTTCAAAGGAATGCTTCCAGTTTTTGCCCATTCTGTATGATATTGGCTGTAGGTTTGTCATAAATAGCTTTTATTATTTTGAGATATGTTCCTTTGATACCTAGTTTATTGAGAGTTTTTAGCATAAAGGGCGGTTGAATTTTGTGAAAGGCCTTCTCTGCATCTATTGAGATAATCGTGTGGTTTTTGTCTTTGGTTCTGTTTATGAGGTGGATTACGTTTATAGACTTGCATATGTTGAACCAGCCTTGCATCCCCGGGATGAAGCCTACTTGATTGTGATAAGTAGGATAAGCTTTTTGATGTGCTGTTTCAATTGGTTTGCCCATATTTTATTGAAGATTTTTGCATCTATGTTCACCATGAATATTGGCCTGAAGTTTTCTTTTTTTGTTGAGTCTGCTGGGTTTTGGTATCAGGATGATATTGGTCTCATAAAATGATTTGAGAAGGAGTCCCTCTTTTTGTATTGTTTGGAATAGTTTCAGAAGGAATGGTACCAGCTCCTCTTTGTTCAGCTGGTAGAATTCAGCTGTGAACCCAACTAAATTCTTTGGGTTCACAGCTGAATTTGGTTGGTAGGCTATTAATTGCTGCCTCAACTTCAGCCCTTGTTATTGGTCTGTTCAAGGTTTCAACTTCTTCCTGATTTAAGCTTGGGAGGATGCATTTAGGAAATTACTTGTGTCTTCCAGGTTTACTGATTTATGTGCATAGAGTTGTATGCAGTAATCTCTGATTGTAGTTTATATTTCTGTGGAGTCAGTGGTGATATCCTCTTTATCATTTTTTATTGCATCTATTTGATTCTTCTCTCTTTTCTTTTTTATTAATCTGGCTAGCAGTCTATTTTGTTTATCTTTTCAAAAAACCAGCTCCTGAATTTATTAATTTTTTTAAAGGATGTTTTTGTGTCTCTATCTCCTTCAGTTCTGCTCTGATCTTAGTTATTTCTTGTCTTCTGCTAGCTTTTGAGATTTTTTTTATCTTGCTCTTCCAGCTCTTTCAATTTTGAGAATAGGGTGTCAATTTTACATCTTTCCTCACTTATTTGATGTACATTTATTGCTATAAGTTTTTCTCTAGACACTGCTTTAAATGTGTCCCTGAGATTCTGGTATGTTGAGTCTTCATTCTTGTTGGTTTCAAAGAACACCTTTATTTCTGCCTTCATTTCATTGTTTATCCAGTCAACATTCAGGAGCCAGTTGTTCAGTTTCCATGAAGTTGTGCAGTTCTAAGTTTCTTAATTCTGAGTTCTAATTTGATTGCACTGTGGTCTGAGAGACTGTTTGTTATGCTATCTGTTCTTTTGCATTTGCTGAGGAGTGATTTACTTCCAATTATGTGGTCAATTTTAGAGTAAGTGCCATGTGGTGCTGAGAAGAATGTATATTCTGTGGATTTGGGGTGGAGATTTCTGTAGATGTCTATTAGGTCCATTTGGTCCAGATCTGAGTTCAAGTCCTGGATATCCTTGTTAATTTTCTGTCTTGTTGATCAGTCTAATATTGACAGTGGAGTGTTAAAGTCTCCCACTATTATTGTGTGGGAGTCTAAGTCTCTTTTTAGGTCATTAAGAACTTGCTTTATGTATCTGGATGCTCCTGTATTGGGTGCGTATATATTTAGGATTGTTAGTTCTTGATGTATTGATCCATTTACCATTATGTAATGTCCTTCTTTGTCTCTTTTGATCTTTGTTGGTTTAAAGTCTATTTTATCAGAGACTAGGATTGTGACTCCTGCTTTTTTTTTTCTCTCTCCATTTGCTTGATAAATCTTTCTCCATCCCTTTATTTTTAGTCTATGTGTGTCCTTGCATGTGAGATGGGTTTCCTGAATATAGTACACTAATGGGTGTTAAATTTTTATCCATTTGCCAGTCTGTGTCTTTTGATTGAGGCATTTAGTCCATTTACATTTAAGATTAATATTGTTATGTGTGAAGTTGATCCTGCCAGTTTGATGCTAGCTGGATGTTTTGCCCATTAGTTGACACATTTTCTTCATTGTGTCAATGTTCTTTACCATTTGGTATGTTTTTGGAGTGGCTGGTACTGGTTGTTCCTTTCTATGTTTATTGCTGCTTTCAGGAGCTCTTGTGATGCAGGCCTGGTGGTGATGAAATCTCTCAGCAATTGCTTGTTTGTAAAGGATTTTCTTTCTCCTTC